TAAGTCAGAATAATGCAGTCTTCACTAGAAATTTGATTATAATAAAGATATTAATACTGTTATTTATAAACTTTAGTTTATAAAGATGATAAGTTTCTACTGAGATTCACAGTCTGCAGTATATGTAAAGAAAAGAAGAAATCATATTATTATTAAAATTAAAAAATAAAGAAAAATAAAAATCAGACTGTGAATATAATTTAATAACTAATAAAGAAAAAACAAAGAAAATTGATATTTATATTCTTATTATTCATGACACTTAATCTCTCCGTAACTATTAATTTCTCTCTTTAAAAAAGCACAGAGTATCATACTTACAGTACAGACAATTATTATATTTGATATAAAGATTACTGAAAATACACAGACTTCAAGAAAGTCAGATATTAGAGTATATACAGTTATAGCAGAGTCTTGAAATCTAATTATCTGTATATATTATCAGATATCTTTTATAAAGCAGTGATTACTCTCTCAGTTGTACTGAAGTATTCAGTCTGAAAATTATTAAGATATGAAGAGAGAGCTCATCTACTCAGACTAACTTCTATTACAAATTTATAGCATTTATATTATGTTAATTACTCAGATTTTACAGATACTCGGAGATTTATCTTCTATTAATATCAGAATTGCAGAAATATACTACTGTATGAAAATTATTAGTGGAGAATATAGATATATTTGCATATATCTGATTGAAAATTGTGTAAATAGAGAAAGAGTGATTATAGATCTGCAGAGCTGCAGAGAGCACTGACAGCACTGAGAGCTTTACAGAAACTATTAACTAGAATCTGTAAGAAATTACTTACAGAGAGACTTACAGTAAAGAGTGAGACTGTACTACTAAGAGTCAGAGACTGATCTGAAAAGAATACAGAGTTAGTTACTAATCTGAAGATTGAGTACAGTGACAGAGCTGAGAGAGACAGAGATACTATCATAGATAATAATATCTCTACTTCATTAGTTAGTAAAAAGTAATCAGAGAAGTTGTAGAGATACTTATAAGAAGCTCAGCAGTAATCAGATATTATTCATAAAGATATTAAAATTGAAAATTTTTTTATTCTTGAGAAGTTCTTAAATTAATATATAAATATTGTTAGAAACACTCTCTCTCTATCATCTAAGTGAAAACACTTTACAAATGAATAAGAATACTCATAGTTTACAGAAATAAAAGCTGTTATAGAAAAAGAAAAAAGAAGATAAGATTTCACAGACAGATCTGAGATATTTATACTACTTTAGAGAGATTTATTTATACTATAAGTAATCTCACAGAATAGTCAGATTACTTTAATAAATAAAGAGTGATTGTAAATCACAGGACTGAATCTTTTTAATAATTATAAAGAGTAATTACAGACTATGAACATCTTGATTCTACAATTTTACAGAGTTAGTAAAAGAATGAGGAATTTCTTATAACTTTACAGTGTTAAAGAATGATAATTCATCAGAATGAGTAAAAGATTAACTTATAGAAACTTCTCTTTAATAAAGATAATCTTATAAAAAGTGATTCATCTATGAGATAAATCTGTGTAATAATTATATAAGAATCTCACAAAAATAATTAAGAGTTAACTGACACTCTTCTATATAAAAGATGTGAGATGAATTTGTATAATAGTCAGAGAAAAATCTGCAGGTTATAAAGAATCTCACAGAATAAGAAACTGAGTGACACACTCTTTTCTCTTTCTAATAATAACAGATTTTTTCTCACTGAGATTTTTTATAGATATGAAGACATTTTAGTGAGTATCACTACAGTGCTGAGTCTGATTCTATGAAATTACTTAGTGAAAGACTTTATGAACAAAGTTTTAGAGAGGAATGAGTGTATAAGAAATCTTACTTCTTACAGACTCTTTATCTCTATTTCTATCTCTTATATAATTAATAAAGTTAGCAGCTCTTAGCTACACATAACTATATAGACTGAAGTTCATAACTACTCTTCATAACTGAGCTTGAATACTATTATAGATTTAATCTCTACATTTATCTTTCCACTGTAAATGCTTCTAGTAGCTATCAGTAGACTGACTACTAAGATTATAAATTTCATATTTAATTTCATTTGATCTGATCTCATACATTTCTTGATATGAATTCTACTGAGACTAATTATCAAAAAAACATACAAAGTGACTATTTACCGGATCTCAAAATAAGACTATAACTTAGAAAAAGTAGGAAAGTGATCTTATTTAATCTCATTTAATCTCATTCTTAGTATAAAGTTACTATTTTTAAACATTTTGAGGTTTTTTTAGACTATTTTTAATTTTTTAAAGAGTAATGATTTTTGATAACACTCAAATGAGATTTAAAGTCATTTAAAGCAATAAAATGAATTTAATTGAGAAGTGAAAATCATAATCTTATTTGAAAAATACGATAAGAGTTAGACTGAATGTCAGAATCATAAATTTCATATTTAATCTCATTTAATCTGATCTTATACATTTCTTGATGTGAATTCTGCTAAGACTAGTCATTAAAAAAACATGCAAAGTAACTATATATCAGATCTCAAAATAAAACCATAACTGGAAAAAAATAAGAAAGTGATTTCATTTGATCTCATTTAGTTTCATTCTTGATATAAAGTTACTATTTTTAGACATTTTAAGGTTTTTTTAGACTATTTTTCATTTTTTAAAAAGTCACACTTTTTGATAATACTTAAATAAGATTTAAAGTCATTTAAAGTAATAAAAATAATTTAAATTGAGAAGTGAAAATCATGATCTCATTTGAAAAATGTAATAAGAGTAGATAGTAAGTCTCACTGAGACAGTATAAGACTACTATCTAATGTGAAAACTGTGTAATGAAATCAGTTGAATTGATAATGAAACTATCAAAAATTCTGATTCTGATCTCAGACATGATCACACAGTCAGTTTAATAAAAGTAGACAGTAAGTCTCACTGAGACAGTATGAGACTACTATCTAATCTTAAAACTGTGTAATGAAATTAATTAAATTGATAATAAGATTATTAAATATTCTGGTTCTGATTTCAGAGACGGTTACACAATTAGTCTAGCTATCAGTATATATTATATCAAGTTAGACTGACTGCTGAGATTATGAATTTCATATTTAATCTTATTTAATCCGATCTTATACATTTCTTAGTATAAGTCTCACTGAGACTAATCATTAAAAAATCATGCAAAGTGACTATTCATCAGATCTCAAAATGAAATCATGACTTAGAAAAAATAAGAAAGTGATTTCATTTAATTTCATTTAGTCTCATTCTTAGCATAAAGTTACTATTTTTAAACATTTTAAGGTTTTTTTTAGACTATTTTTAATTTTTTAAAAAGTAACACTTTTTGGTAATACTCAAATAAGATTTAAAGTCATTTAAAGCAATAAAAAGAATTTAAATTGAGAAGTGAAAATCATAGTCTTATTTGAAAAATGTGATAAGAGTAGACAGTAAGTCTCACTGAGATTAGACTAACTGTGTAATTATATCTGAGACTAGAATCAAAATATTTGATAGTCTTATTATTAATTTAACTGATCTCATTTAACAGTTTTAAGATTAGATAGTAGTCTTATACTGTTTCAGTGAGACTTACTATCTACTTTTATTACTTTTTCTAAATAAGATTATAATTTTCATCTCTTAATTTAAATTCTTTTTATTACTTTAAATAACTTTAAATCTTATTTAAGTATTATCAAAAGGTGTTACTTTTTAAAAAATTAAAAATAGTTTAAAAAAAACCTTAAAATGTCTAAAAATAGTAACTTTATGTCAAGAATGAGACTAAATAAGATTAAATAAAATTACTTTCTTATTTTTTCTAAGTTATAATCTCATTTTGAGATCTGATTAATAGTTACTTTGCATGTTTTTTTAATGACTAGTCTGAGTGAGATTCACATCAAGAAATGTATAAGATCAGATTAAATAACATTAAATATAAAATTTATAATTTCAGTGACTAGTCTAACTAAGATAGTATGAAATTACTATGTAATCTTAAAACTGTGTAATAGAATTAATGAAATTAATAATAACATTATGAAATATTCTGATTTTAATAAACTGGTCACTGAGACTATGAATTTCATATTTAATTTCATTTGATCTGATCTTATACATTTCTTAGCATAAATCTCACTAAGATTAATTATTAAAAAGGTATGCAAAGTAACTATTCATCAGATCTCAAATTAAGATTATAACTTAGAATAAATAAGAAAGTAATCTTATTTAATCTTATTTAATCTCTTATTCTTAACATAAAGTTACTATTTTTGAACATTTTAAGGTTTTTTTTAGACTATTTTTAATTTTTTAAAAAGTAACACTTTTTGATAACACTCAAATAAGATTTAGAGTTATTGAAAGCAATAAAAAGAATTTAAATTAAGAAGTGAAAATCATAATCTTATTTGAAAAATGTAATAAGAGTAGACAGTAAGTCTTACTGAAACAGTATAAGACTACTATCTAATTGTAAAATCATGTAATAAGATCAATTAAATTGATAATAAGATTATCAAATATTCTGATTCTGATCTCAGACATAGTTACATAGTCAGTCTATATTCAGCTACAAACACCTGAATAATCACCTGTGAGCACTTATTCTTACAGTCACTTTGTATGTTTTTTTAATAATTAGTCTCAGCAGAACTCACACTAAGAAATGTATGAAATCAGATTAAATTAAATCAAATGTGAAATTTATAATCTCACTAACTAGTCTAGTTACAAAGTCAGTCTAACTCAGATAATAAAATGAATAAAAATATACATTTATTTCTCTTAAATTTTTCATATATTATTGTAATCTTGCTTAATATCTGATTTTGAAAATATCTGAGAACTTGCTTCTCACTTAGTTTGAACTTATTCAAATTAAAATTAACTTCTTTAATTCTCTGTTCTTTTATAAATGAATAATTCTCTTTCTTATCATGTAAAAATTTGTGAGATAATAATAAATCATAATATAAATTTTATTCATTGATTACGTAGTCTTCACAATGAAAATAAAGATAATAAAGTGAGAGAAGAATATGAATATTGACAACAAAACAAAGTCAAATTCAGCTGAAAACATAAAAGAGAAATAGAGCCGGGAATATCAGATGTGAGAAACTACAGGTGACTGCATCTTCCACTTCTCAAATCAGCTGAAAAGAAATTGCTCCATCATATAAACCTATCAGAAATGAAGAGATATTTATCATGTTTCATCTTAGCAGGTGGCAGTGGGGAGAGGGCGAGGAAAGTGAGGCGGGCCGCGGGTGAGAGTGAGGAGGGTCAGGACAGGTGAGGAACGTGTGAGGCTAAATGGCAGCAAGACGCTCGCACGAACACGGAGGGGGAAAATCTACATCTTCCAAAAATTACCCAGGTAACCACTGTACTAGCATATATTGTTACAAAGTCCTATCAATTTCTGATGTTACAGAATAACTGCTAAACACAAGGTGGATGGCGGATGATGCAACAGGGTAGGGAATACCAAAATAGAGCGGCACAGCGCAAAGCGGATCACTCATACAATTTGAAGAAAACAGAGATGGGGCAGATAAAATGGGAATTATCAAAGGCAAGTTAGGAGTATGAAAGGATTAAAATTCTGTGAATTAGTGTAGTTATATATTATCACAGTTCGCTGTGGCCAGTTGGTTCTTCCTTTTCGAATTCATTCTTCTCTCCCTGCTCGAGTTCCTTCTCAGTTTCCTTCTCAGGCTGCTTGTCGGTTGCTTCCTTCCTGGGCTCCTTCTTCTCCTTCTGCTCCTCCTCGTCGGGTACGATACCCTCGGGTAGCTTAGTTTTGGCTCCTTCACCCATACGAATCGCATCAATCCATGCCTCGAGTTTAGTGACGCTCCAGTCACCATCAGCTCCAGCATCATAGTGTCGCCACCAACCTCGCTTTACATTCAACGCGATGATATCAATCGCGACATCATGCTTCAGCTCCAGCTTACTCCTTAAGAAGCCAACGTCTTTTACAGCGTCCGGCAAGGTATAGAAGGGGAACAGGTGTGATTTCCTCAACGAGTGTTTGTGGGCGATCTCAGCAAGGCTGTTGAGGGCCTGAACTGTTCCCGGTGCAGGCACGGTATCAGCGGATATCTTCTCTGGCATTGCCACGAGTGCGAGGACACAGGTTCCTGTTTTCGGAGCAAGACAAGCCTCTCTCAGTTTTGAGTCTGTGGATATAGTTGGTATGGGAGGGGTCTTGGGTTGCGTGGAAGCAGAATCTGTAGAACTAGGCTCGGAAGACTCGGTAGTTTTGGATGTAGTCGTGGCATCATCATCATCACCAGAGTCGGACTTCGACTTTTTGGATTTGGTCGGCGCGGGATCTGGATTAGGCTTCGCTACTCGGCTGAGGAACTCGGATATGGGTTGTTTTTTCATCTCTCCATCGTAGGTTATGGGTTCCTTAGTCCCACCAGGGAGAAGTACAAGCGTAGGGAATTTGTTGACACCGAACGTTTCCACCGCTGATGTCTCCTTGTTACGAATTTGGGCGATGCTGATTGATCCTAGATAATCTATTGCCAATGATCGGAGAAGGGCACTAGTGGAGCCTTTCTCCGTGAATAGGATAAGTTTTGCAGTGTCATTGGCTTCCTGAAGCCAACCGTCGATGTTTTCATCCTGAAGTCGTTTGATATGATTCGGTATCATCTCCACAACGTAGTCAACGATAGCCTTCGCTGTTCTGGGCCCCTGATAATCATCGACTCGCGGCTTTCCTGGATGCTTCGACGGCGTTATCACCTTAAGAGTAGGAAATCCTTTGACTCCCATCTGGCGACAGAACTGCTTGTTCGAATCGTCATCGCAATTAACAGCAGCAACTTTAACTAATCCTTCAAGACTTTTGGCTACTTTTTCGTATGCTGGCTTAAGGTTCTTGCAGTGCCCACACCATGGAGCATAGAATCTGGAATACGCACATGCAATAAGACACAAGCTCAGGTAACTCCAGGGAGGTGGAAAGCTTACTCTACAATCTTAAGAATTGGTCAATTCAATTGCACTTGATGCCAATGATATTGGATGACTTACAGAAGCATGGTTAGATTTAGCGATCAGGTTGTTATAGTTGATCTCATCAACCTGCAGAACCGGAGAGTTCCTGGTATAGAGGCCGTTAGCAATTAACGGCAGCGTCTCCAGAAATGCTGCAATTAGCAGGATGGCGGAGCTCTTTTTGAACATGGTGGAGCTCAATATCAGAAGCACACAGTAGTTAGGTCTAGCTTGAAGAGTGAGGTACTCATAAAGAACAATAATACAAAGTGCATTCCAATAAGGTTCACCAGAGACAGAGAGAGCTAGGAGTTAAAGGGATCTTTATAGCTGCACTCCGTCCTGACCACCTTGTCGTCCTGACCACCTTGTCGTTTTGCGCAATCTGTCCAGTTTGTTGTTTGGCGGCGGAAAGTTCTGCCGCTTATAGCCACGTGACATACCGCTGACCAATTGCTGACAAAACATCCACTCACCTCTAGCTCGCGAACTGTAGGATAGTTGAAGGTTGTATTGATAGATCTATCTACAAGGAACATAATATAGTGGTGGGTCACGTGATCTAGTGGGATCGCTAACCGCAACAGCTGTAAGGGCCAACACCCCCTCTCAAGATAACAAGAATCACATACAAAAACACCCAAATCATCAAGATAGTCTGTCAAAACCAAATACAAATGTAAAATTAAACATTCTCAACTTTTACACCTGTAAGACCTAGTAAAATCATGAATCATACAAATATCATAGTATCTAGAGATTTAGTGAGTTTATTCACTGTTATCTGAGTAATAAGAATGTATTCTAAATCAATAATTCTCTGATTCAACTGTTAATGTGAAAAATGAAAATGTATATCAATGTATTTACTTCAGACTGTAATGACTGTCATCTTTGTAAGATCTATAACACTCTTATTATCAGTGAGAATCTATATCAGAGATGTAGTGATGAAGTCAAGCTTAATTATAAGATTCTGAATTTATATTATCTTGCAGATTATCTCACTAAGAGTCATATATTCAGTCTCATTGAAACTTAGAGATACACAAGATTGCTTTGCTAAATATCATGAAATCAGATTATCTGTGAGCTTAAAAATGTAGCTGAATATTAATTTTCTATCATTATTCAAGAAACTAGCTCAATCAGAATCTGAGTAGCTGAAGAGTAGATAGAAATCATCAGAGAAATCAGAAGAAACAGAAAGATCAGTAGAAATAGATCTCTTATACAGATTATATCTGTAGAAAATACTCAGATTCATAATCTCTTTTAAATAATATATAACATATAATAGAGTTTTTCAATATTGAGATGTTAAATCAATATTCTGTTAAGTAAGTAGTAAGACAGTATGAGTGATATCAGAATGTGTTTTAACTATAAGATATTGTAAGTAACTTATATTATATTGATATCACTGAATTATGAAATCAGTCTCTTTCTCAAATATAGAGAAATTATTAATACAGAATTCATTCTTTATTGATATTCTGATAATAGCTGTATTATTAAGATAGAAATCTTTAATAAGATATTTAATATATTAATAATATATTAAATCAATTCTCTTATCTGAATAATTAATCTTCATACTTAAATACTTGATTGACTGATGTAGATTCTTGACTTTTAATTTCTCACTGAGTATACTTACTAGTCAATCAGCATTCTCAGAAGCTTCAGATATAATATTGAGATTGTCAATGTAGATTATTATATAGAGATAGCATCTGAATATATAATATCAGAGTACTGAATCATGAGCACTGACTGTAAATTCAAGATTACTCAACAGAGCTGTTAAGTAATTATATCAGATCTTCATCACAGAGTTCAGACTGTATAAACTACTCTCAACTGTGCAGACAAGTGTTTTCAGCAAATCTATCTTAAATCTGATAAGTTGTCTTATATAGATCTTCTTAGTGAGAGACTTATAAAGATATATTATTACTATATTCACTTGACAAAGTGTTCAACTGTATAGTACTGCTATTGTGAAAAGAATACAATTAACTGTATCAGTGATGACTGAAGTATAGATCTCTTCTCTAGAATTCTTCTTAAGTCAGTTATCATAAATCACTCAATATGATTTTCTAAGAATATTATCAGAATCAGCATTCAGGTTCACAGGCCTATCTTTCTCAAGAAATACTTAACAGCTTAAAGTAATCAGTTCATTTCTCAGAATATCAGATCTAGAGATTAAACTTCATATATTATATCTCTTCAGATCAGTAATCTTGTATTATATGAACTTCTTTTAATAATCTTCTATCTCTTCTGACTGTGATGTGATGTTCTTGTAGAACTTCAGAAGGTTACTTATAATAAGGCTCAGAGTATATATAGCCAGCGATTTCACAGGCTGTAATTATGTGAAATTCAGATCATTAATATCAGAAGTGTCTTCATTATCAATCAGATAAATATCAGGTTTCAGTTCATCAGCATTATTAGTGAATATCACAGATGTGATAACTGATTCAATAATATAATTAATGAGTTTCACAGATATAACAACTGGTTTTTCAGTGATTGAAAATCTCATATCACTACTGATAATAATCTTGTCAGATTCAGAATGCTATAGACAATATATCAATGTGTCACTGAATTCAATGATACAATAGAAATCAGTATATAAAGAAAGCTTATTCATAAGTCACTGAGATTTATATAAGTGAATAAAAATCTCTGCACTTAATCAGTGAAAATACCTCACATTCAGTGAGATATTTATAAGTGTATATTAAGAAATCTTATATAAACTTGGAATTACAGAAGTCTCTGCAGTAGAGAATTAAAATTTTAAGTTGTAAAGAACTATAGATATGAGAGTATTATTAATTATTATAATCACTGTCTCTAGAACATCTGCTCAGAACTTCTTAGAGAGATTATCTTTTAAAAGAGCAGCTCTAACTCATCTCATAATAGTGTAGATTTCACATTTGAAAACATCATTCTGATGTGATGAATGTGATGCTGTTGATTCTCATTTAATATTATATGAATTTATAACTGTGTATATACATGTGAATCAGAAAACATCATCAATATCAGTTCATAGAAAAGCAGAGACTGTATATCTGAGATTATTCATAAATCTGAGTTATAACTCAAAGTATTGAACAGCCTCATTCTTGAACTTTAAAAAATATATTCAATGATAGTGAGTCACATCACAGATAATAAGTATTCAGTATTTAATTTCCTGACAGAACTCTAAGAAGTGATTAGAGAGATCTTTCAATATATATCTATTATCTACAAGATTAATATGAATCTTCTCAATAAGTTAAATAGATCTAGACATCAGTGTTTTTAAATAATCTCATATTATATCTGTCTTAATACATTTCTTATAAAAGAACTTAGTCTTAGAACCTTTAATAGTGACTTCAGTATAAGAATTCTTGATCATAGTAATTATAGTATCAGTGTGAATGTGACTGAGATCACAGTGTCAGTTTAAAAGAGTCTTTGATATTCTTGTATTCTTGAGACCTGTATTCAGAACTGTAGAATCAATGTTATTAACAGTAGTAGTAGCAGTCACAGAAAGATCAACTTTTCAGTCAAAATTATACTTATGAGATATCATCACAATATACTTAACTGCCTTGTTTAAATGATTGAGATTCTCATTGAACTCTTATTTATTAATCTTATATATATTATTCTGAGCAGTTTAAACTGTATGAAAAATAATACTGTTCAGAACTCTGTAAATGAAAAATAAGAGAATAGTGAAAGACAATGTAAATCAGAATCTCTGATCTTCAAGCTTTATAAATGAGAGCAGATTAACTATAATATTAGAAATATAGTGAACATTCTGCAAGTTAATATTATCATTCTCAATCTTCAAAGTGACAGTCTTAATCTTCTTAATAAACTCAGTTCTCTCAGTTGTAGAATCAACAGAGATATTATCATTAAAAGATTTAATATTTGAAAAAGAATGAAGCTCATCTGTCATATTCAGACTTATATATATATTCAAATACTAAGATCTAGAGAATGAATTTTCAGTGACTGTGAAAGAGAAATAGAACTTAATCTTTGTAATTACTGTATTTACTACTGATTAAGAACTTATCAAGTCATTCTTCTTCTCTTTCTTCTTATCATTCTTCTTTTTCTTTTTATCAGAGTGTAAGATGAAATATCTGTCAACAGTATATCTATATCTTCTACAGTGAGTGTACTTTTATACAGATGTGCTTTTATTCTTATCTTTATTCTTATCTTTATTCTTATCTTTGTTCTTTTTCACAGTTACAGAATTGATCTGAGACTGCTTTTTTCACTCAGTTATAATCTTCTTAAATGTACAATTGATCAGTTACTTTATTAAATTATTAATATCAATGTTAATAATGAGTCTCTGACTGATGAAGAAAAACTTATTTAAATATATCTTGATAAATAATCTCTGATAATTCTGCAGATTATTGAGAAAAAGATTATAATATATATTCTCAGTACTCTGACAGAGCTTCTTATAATAAGTAATAAAATAGTAGAAATATCTCTGAAAAGTAAGATAATTATTCTTCTTAACTTATAATTTTATCAATTTCTTGAAGATATTAACTCATTCTTCTGTCAGTGATATTATATATTTAATATTAATCTTGTTTCACAGAGCTGCAGTATTATCAGCTTTCAAGATTTTAATAGTGATTTAAACATTTTTAACAAGACTTGATAGTATACATTTATATAGAGACTTGAAATGAATTCTTCACTTCTTGAAGTTAATATAATATATAAAAGAGAATTCTCATTGAGTTCTTAATAGAATATCAGTTTCATTAATAACTTCTGTATCAGTTAATATATTAATATATCAGGCTTTATAATTAGAGCTATTAAATGTGATCACTGATTTAATATCTAGTATATATTTAACTTTCTTCTGATATTTCTGTAACTTGTCTCTTATAGTATCTCTTTGTGCAGAAACAGATATAGTGAGATATTAAGTGATTTCAGTCACAGTTATCTGATTCTATAGTATTATCTGTATAAGATTTATAAGATTATCTGCAGTGTAATAGATAGATTGATTTAAATCATTATTAAAAGTCAGTATTTCAGAGATGAGAGATAATGAAGAATTTAATGAGTTAAAATAAACAGATTCTGTAGATAAATATTAACTCTGCTTTTCTTTATTCTGAAGTTTCTCTATTATCTCATTATCAAATTTCATACTCTGGTGAAAACTGATCTCAGTCTCATCTTGCAAGTCAGAAGCCTTCTCATAATAAGTGATTATTCTATTAATAAGTTATCTAGTGAAGTGTGTGATTCTGAGTCTTGAGCTGAACTCTGAAGTAACAGATGTATCACTTATATTAAGATAACTCTGCTTCTTCTAGATGTATAAAAAAAAGATGATATTCTTCACAATGAAGAATGTACTTTCTCAAAAAAAATATAAAGTATATGAATCTGCTAATCAGCAGATTCAGGAAAAATGAAATATCTCTAATAAAGAGTGAGAGTCTTTTCAAAAAAGGTGAACTATCTGTGTCAAAAAAAATGTTGGTTCAATGTTCTAAAAAGAAAAATGTGCCATCCAGGCTATAACCTGTAGAATAGTTGAAGGTTGTATTGATAGATCTATCTACAAGGAACATAATATAGTGGTGGGTCACATGATCTAGTGGGATCGCTAACCGCAACGGCCGTAAGGGCCAACACGAACAGCTCTATTGCCCCCAATGCGGCCTTTAGTTGAGACTAGTTAACGCACCCCCTCGAGCGTTTGACATGACCTTACTGAAGTCTGGCCTTAACTACGGAGTACATGCAGAATATTCACCTAAGTTCCAGGCTTCTACCTCGTGCCACTGTGGGAATTTCATAGCAGCCATTTAACATCAAAACCCGATCGAATTTTTGAGGACTGCTTTTTGGACTTACGACGATGGTCTAATTGTATTTTGTCTCGCGGGATGATATGTGCTTCCTGGTGCTGGACCTGGAAACAAGCAAGGTATTCACAGTACCCTTTGACATGGATAACAGGGTGATGCGAAAAATGCGCCTTCAGCATCGATTTCTTCTCATCGAATGGGCTGAGGCTGATGCATTCAACTGGTTGAATGCCTTGGATAGTGTCCATCACCATTTTGCTTCATCATTCGATATTACTGCTGTATCCCCAACTTGCGAGTGGGAGATTACTTTTCGTAACGAATAATAATGGAAGATCATGTTCCCTTGGGCACCCCTAAGCGATCGTGATAGGTTCTATTCCTCACATAATGGAACTCATTACGTTTTATATACTTGGCAACCCAATCGCAGTTTATACACTGCCGACGAGGATGCACCTATCGAATCTTTATTTGTATGGGACATGCCAGAACCGTCGGATTATCGGGCTTCAATAGACCCTTCAAGTCTTCATAAACCCAGCTCCTCAGGGCCCTTTGTAGTGGCGAAATTTAACTTACGAGACTTGGACTTTTACTCTGTTCGACAACGTGGAGCACCCAAAATGATTCGATTGGACATCGATAGCGAAACTAACGTACTGGACATCACGGAGAGTATAAATCCTGAATACCAGATCGAGCTTAGCAATATGCCCGATGTCCAAGTCACCAGTATCCCCTTCCTTAGCCACGGCCCAGTCTGGCGACGGCATCTCGAACTCCGCATTCCTCCATATCGTGGCAATACTAGCATGTATAACCGTTCTATCCGAGGTCCCTATTTCTAGTACATGAATATCCCTAAAGCCATTGATGAAGAGGCACAAGTTTCTTTTAATCTACAAACCTCCATCCCAAGCTACGAAGATTACAAAAGTGCCCCACGCATGGAGGTTACAATTCGAGCACCACACCTTGGTGACTAATTCTCCAGACTTGAATCACGTTTATTCCCTGAGGTTGCCTTCAAGGGCTTTATTCAGGGAGATGAGCGTTTTGTCATTGGGGAAAATGAGGCGTAGGAGCTTGTTGTCTTACGCTTCGATCGATAGAAAATATGCCCGACTTGCGCGAGAAGATTTTACACTTCCCTACAAGAAGCAATGTTTATCGCCAGACTTCTAAATCATAACCTGGTTGGAGACGAACCTAATGTCCGTTTCCAAGTAAAGAGCTCACATCGGGGCGCGATGTCTAGATTGGATGTTAAAATTGTGGAGAGTTTCTGTTGTATCCATTTGGCCGTTTAGGACACTGAGGAGCCGAACTGGGAGCGGGGCCTGAAGAAACTGGCATTAATATAAGCTGCTTCCCTGATTTTCCAAACCCGAACGACGCGTTCGGAAAAAATCAGAAAGTATACGAAGCCTTCATGGGAATGGGCTAAATTTGAAAGCATTGGTGCTGGGTGTTATTTGATTTACGAATCCTTCTGTTTTCATTTTCTTTGAAACTCCTATTATCAGAACTGAAGCCCAGCAAATAAAAGATGATGCACGTGTCTTGGTGGGAACAAATGAAACCTTCATAGACCTCTAGGAAATGCATGGATCTGAATTATGAATCCTAAAGATGAACATATAAGTTTCCCAGATCCTTGAAATTTGCGGCATGTGGTAGCAAACACAATCACTCAGATATATCACTCACTGTTTATTTTGAGTTCTTACATCTAAATATCTGTTCAATTTGGCTCAATGAGGATACATACTCTGCAAGTAGCATATGAACATGATATGATTATCCATGTATAATTTTTTGAAGAAACAGTGCATGAAGAGACAGTAGAAGAGTTCATTTGAGTGACATGTAGTCAAGGAAAGTGTGATGCACCTATATACACAACTGGGAATTATATTTAATTGGATAACAACAGAGGACCCTATCAGTTAGAAGATGAAAAAAGAAGATTTGATTTTACAAGATTTTCAACAAAGGATTTCTAGATACTAGCAGTGGTGGTGCAGTGGTAGTTGTGGTGGTAGGTAGTAGTAGTGGTGTTGGATGGTGTGTTAATGGAAAGGAAAGAAAAAATCTACATATTAATAAAGGACTGAGTGAAAACCCGGCATTGCTAGTTTTTCTTTTTCTCTATTGTCATCTCCAATCCAATACATTGTCGGGCCTGCTTGTTTACATATCCTCACTGGCAGTGGCACCAGTGATAATCTCGACTAGTTCGCCGGTAATGGCGGCTTGACGCTGTCTGTTGTAAAGAATCTGGAATCTGTTGTTGGAGGAGGAAAAGAAAACGGTCAACAAAAGTGTTGCGGAATAGAGCGAATAAAACTATGAAAGAATGGGTATTAGAAGTTCCGACTTACCGTTGAATCATGTCACCGGCGTTCTTAGATGCGTTCTGTAGTTTTTGAATCAAGTTAGGTTTGGTGAGGGTTAGAGGTTGGGGGAGGGGATGAATGGAATCTATCGGGTAAAAGTGTCAACACATACGTCCATAGCATTGCGACGAGCCTAATAGTTACGCAAGTCAGTAAATTACCATCATTCAGCGGAATGACAAGGCAGTTCATTCATTCACTTACAGAGATCTCGCAAGCATGTCCTTCGGCAAGAGCCCAGAACAAGCTGTTTGCAAGAGCATATTCTCGGAGATTGGCGAGAGCTTCGTCGTCAATTTCGAAGGCGGAAATGTTCGCTACATTGGAAGTTGGTAAAAGAAAATCGTTTACAACTTCATCTTCATTTCTGGGTTTGTCCGTGGCGTGGATGGGGTAGATCCGACTTACGGGATTGGGTGATAGCCTCTTCCGAATAAGCTTCGACAACAACAGGTTCGTAGGTCTGAGCGTTGACGAATTTGTTGTAGATAATCTTAACACTGGCGTAATCGGTTGGCAGCTGAGAAATCTGGTCTGCAATCGCCTGAGCTTCAGCGAAAGTTGGGATATCCTTCCCGACATTGGCGAAGCTCAAAACCATGTCTTTCTCGTTGGTTCTGGCGAGCTGGCCCTTGGCCTTGTCGCCGAGAACAACAATATCAGCGTTAGGCTGGTCGAGCATCATCCTTCTTGTAGCTTTGCTCAATCCGGAGTGAATGCCTCCACACAGACCCTTATCCGAACTGGCGACAACGAACAGAGTCTTCTTATCTTCGAGGGGTTTGGTTTCGGCGTTCTCGAACACGGTATTGGATGTTTGACCGTAGGCCCGCGAATCGGCCATGGCTCTCTGGGCCTTGTTAAGACGAGTGGAAGCAACAATCTTCATGGTCTTGGTGATTTTCTCGATGTTCTTGATGGACTTCAGCCGACCCTCAATTTCACGGAGTGTCGCGAAATTTGCAGAATTGGCAGGGGCGGCATTCCTTTTGTTGTGTAAAATTACAGCGTCAGTCAATCCCGTATCATCTCAGCGCAATTCCGTGATATCCACGCTCCGATATCAATGACCTGGGTTGAGTCAATTGTGGGGGAGGGGATATGGGCGACATAAACCGTACCGTGCAAGAATTGCACTGCCAGCCTGGAGAGCCGGACGAGCAGTTCGAGAGAGCATTGTGGGGATATGGGGAAGTAGTCAGGGCAAATTGAGTCCTGGCAATGGAGGGTAGATACACAGGATGCCGAATACAAGGCCAATTGAGGAGAGGCGCGGACAGAGATGTGCTTATACGACAGTCGGTTCCTTGTGTCTGGTGCGAGTGTTCGGAAAGTGGACGTCGGAACAGGAAACTCCACTAGCCCGAAACCAGACTAGTGTAACCTTGGCAGGAGGCACAACCACAGCCAATCAGAAGCCAGAGTCCTCAGCCTCTTAAACTTCGTCTTGCCCTCGTCTCTTCCTCTCTCCTCTCTCATGCTGTCCGCCGTATTGTGCTGTTGTTATCGCGGTGTTTCGGCTTCGAGAAGACCATCGAGACTCGCTTCCCTCACTTTTTCTGTCTCTATTGATCAGTAGTACCTCTCACTTCAGCATTGCTCGCCCTTTTGCCTCCGTGTTCTGGGCCTTTTCCCTTCATTGCCCATCAAGGCATTTACGTGTCTCTAAATTGCCCTCGAATTTCCGACACATACGCCGCTGCTTGACCCGTCAACAGACGTCGTACGCGGCTCAGCGGCGAGTCATGAGCTCCTCAGATGATGATGTGCCTCTGGTTGGCAAGCGGAGATCTAACGGACAGTCCGGAGGTGAGTTTTCTCTCTTCATTGGGTTCTACGGAGTAGTACCCTTCCCCTCGGGCATGGAACCGTTTTGTTGTCAAATCTTCCTTTTTCATCCTTGAAACCCTCGTATATTATCAAGCCATAGCATTGTGATGAGCCAGCTCATGTTTTTCCGGAGCTTGAACTGATGGCATAGCTATTCAGCAATACATGCGCTCTCAGATGAGCTGATTTCGAAGTCCACTGATCCATCTGTTAGCGCCTCCCCGAAGGCAAATGGATACGCAAAACCCGGTTTGTCCATTCGCCATGGACTGGTCGACTCCGAGGACGTTGAAATGCAGGATGCCAACGTGAAAGGGGCCAGTCTAAGCAAGCGGAAATCAAGAGGAAGCGATATGATGCGGAAGTCGTATGCGGAACCTGAGAGCAGTGAGGAGGATAAGCCATTGGTACGCCATGATTCTCTTTTCAATACACTACCATTCTCCCAACCACCCACCCCCTTCAAAAACCGCGTCGGGAGTATTTTTGTTATTGGCAGAGCATGGCTGACTCTGCATTAGAGCAAGCGGCGTCGCGTTTCAGCAGAGCAAAGAATAAATGATTTCGATTCCGACGATGCCCCCATCATATCCAAACTGGCAAAAGGAAAATCTGAAGCAAAGGTAGTCACTATGGCAGAGTCTGCCACGGATGGTTCCCTTGGTAAAATCCTCATGGCCGAGAAGACTAGGATCGAAGAACGGGCCGGAAAGGAAGCGAAAGCGATTCGCAAGCATGAAAGTGCCGAAGCAACAATAAAGAAAAAGATTGCAGCCACAGCCGCTGCGACGGACAAGGGCACGAAGGGCAAGAAAACACTTGTAAATGGCATTAAAAAGTCGGAATCCAGCGATGAAGATATTCCGCTGGCCCGGAAAGTGCCCGCCAAGAAGTCCGTGAAAGCGTTTAAATCGGAGCCTGCAGATACAAAGAAGGGGAAAGCCAAGGTTGCAATGAAAAAGGAGTCTAGCGAAGAACTGGAGGGGGAGGAAGCAGAGGAGGAATATCGCTGGTGGGAGGACCCAGCACAAGGCGACGGCACTATCAAGTGGACCACTTTAGAACATAATGGTGTCATATTCCCACCTCCATACGAACCACTGCCTAAACATGTCAAGATGAAGTACGACGGCATTCCGATTACGCTAGCTCCCGAAGCTGAGGAAGTCGCTGGGTTCTTCGGGTCCATGCTTAACTCCACTCACAATGTTGAAAATCCTACATTCCAGAAGAACTTCTTCACTGACTTCACCGCCTACATTAAAAAGTCTGGTGGTGCAAAAGACCCGAACGGAAATCCAGTGGCTATAAAGTCATTTGATAGTTGTGATTTCAAACCAATCTTCGAGTACTACGAGGCCGCGCGTTTGGAGAAAAAGAACCTCCCAGCTGCGGAGAAGAAACGCCTCAAGGCCGAAAAGGACGAACTTGAAGCTCCGTACATGTATTGCATGTGGGACGGTAGGAAGCAAAAGGTTGGCAATTTCCGCGTCGAACCGCCTGCTCTATTTCGCGGCCGTGGAGAACATCCAAAGACTGGCAAAGTGAAGACTAGAGTCATGCCAGAGCAAATCACCATCAATATCGGCAAAGACGCCAAAGTCCCACCGCCTCCCCCAGGTCACAAGTGGAAAGAAGTTAAACACGACCAAGAGGGGACTTGGCTAGCTATGTGGCAGGAAAATATTAACGGCAACTACAAATATGTCATGCTTGCTGCGAATTCAGATATCAAAGGTCAGAGCGATTACAAGAAGTTCGAAAAGGCTCGGGAACTCAAGGTATGTTTCACGTGGTTCTTATATTGCATTTGCCTTCGTTTTACTAATATATTTTACCTAGAAACACATTGATCGGATTCGTAAAGATTACAAGAAAAGCCTAAAACATGAACTCATGTCAGAGCGACAGAAAGCCACTGCCGTCTACCTTATTGATCAGTTCGCCCTTCGTGCTGGGAACGAAAAAGGAGAAGATGAAGCTGACACAGTGGGGTGTTGCTCGCTGAAATACGAGCATGTCACCCTTAAACCTCCAAGTACGGTTATTTTCGACTTCTTAGGTAAAGATAGCATCCGGTTCTATGACGAGGTAGAAGTAGACCCACAAGTCTTTAAAAACCTCAAGATCTTTAAGAAAGCCCCGAAGAGGGAAGGTGATGAAATATTTGACCGCCTGACCGTAAGTCTCATCCAGTCCTAATCCTTGGATGGAGAACGCACCGTTAGATTAACTTGTTTTCCAGACTTCTGCCCTAAACAAACACCTTTCCAACTATATGCCAGGCCTCACCGCCAAAGTTTTTCGTACATACAACGCTTCTTACACGATGGCTACGCTTCTCAAAGATTTGAAGTCAACTGGCAGCATCGCAGAAAAGATCAAGGATTACAACGATGCTAACAGAAAGGTCGCTATTCTTTGCAACCACAAGCGCACTGTTACCGCGAGCCATGCAAGTCAAATGGAAAAGCTCGGCGATAGGGTATGTTAATTTCACCTGCCTGTAAGGGATATGTCCCGTCTTGCTAACATGATACAGATAAAAGGATTAAAGTATCAAGAATGGCGCGTTAAGCAGATGATGCTAGACCTTGACCCGAAGATAAAGAAGAAAAAGGGGCCTGCCTTCTTTGAGCTCGACGAAAGCTTAGACCAGGAATGGATCAAAGAACATCAGGATTACCTCGTCGAGGAGCAACGCCAAAAGATCAAGAAGAAATTCGAGAAGGATAACGAGAAGCGCGCCGCTGAGGGCGAAAAGGAAATGAAACCAAAGGAACTCGAGGAACGGCTTGAAGTCGCCAAAGCATTAGAAGCTAAGTTCAAGCGGGAGAACAAGACTAAGAAGGTGGAAGCTGAAGGGAAGGGAGTCACTATCGAAAAGTTGGAGAATCAACTCCTGAAGCTCTCGCAACGCATTGAAAACATGTCTCTCCAAGCGGAGGATAGAGAGAATAACAAAGAAGTTGCTCTGGGTACTTCCAAAATTGTAAGTTCCTATCCCATCAACTTTCGTCCCGCATTCCAGCATAGCATGCTCACTCCTCAAAATATAGAACTACATCGACCCACGTCTCACCGTGGTGTTTTCGAAAAAGTTCAATGTCCCCATAGAAAAATTCTTCTCAAAGACCTTGCGCGAAAAATTCGATTGGGCAATTAAGTCAGTGGAAGAGGATTGGGAATTTTAGGGTAGAAAAGTTTTCCGCTCCGCTCTTTGCCGTATTGTATATCTCGTTGAGTTCTATCTTTTATATATAATATAGAGCCGTTGCATTGGACAACTTTCGTTTCTCTCCCCTGAGCAATTGGAAAGAGAAAGGACAATGCGATGCGTCCAAACATACATTGACATTGACATTGTTTCCCCCTCCTTTTGTTCTACTTGATCCCTTATGCCTCTTTTAGTAAATAGATTCCATAAACATACACATATCTCATTCTTCCAATGAGCTTGTTCTTATTATTTTATTTTTTGATTGTGCCCTTTCTTGAATGTCTCAAATGCTTCGAGTATATCATCTATTTATTTTAGGGAAACCCCTCGCCCCACCCAACACTTTCTTTCTCCCCTTGCTCTCCGTTCTTCCTTGCTGAGGTTTATTTTGATATGCGACTGGACAAGAACGCCATTGAATAGAGGTATACTTGGCTTTCACGACCTGAGTATTTACTTTACTACCTACCCTATTATTTCCCTTGTCAATATTCCACATACTCTCTTCAGGCTCTCCCGCCGCCACTCGGGCAGAAGCGAGACATAGACATCAACGCCATTGCACCGCTACTCTTGACATTGCCAGGGGACTCTGCATCAAACAACCAGCGTCTCTTGTTGTAGTTTGTTGCTACCACCCGAATAATACCCCCCGTGCATGACTATTGTGCGGGTTCAGATCTAAGTATTGGTGCGGAGCATCCAGCTTTTGCTTGTGTGCCGACGGTGTCATAGTCTCTCCTGGTGGACCCCCCCAATAATCTAGTACATCTCTTTGTTTGCGATGCAAACACAGAATTTGTCAGACAGATACGGTGGGGAGATAGATGGATCAGTGGTGATGTCTGAACAATGGTTGGCACTGTCTCAAGAACAGCAACAGGGTCCCAAGGTCCGCCGCCTCAGCCGTTTCCATCAATTTGGTAACTTGATTTCAACAGTGAAAATTTGAACTTGAATGGAATAGATAGCCCAATGCAAGTGTATATGCAAGTTCAGAATCAGCAAGTGATGTTTTTTTTTTTTTTTAAAAAAAGGGAATGATTGTAGATAACTGTCACCAGAAATAACAGCAAGTATTTATTCCAAGTGAGATGCAAAAGGTTGAAAATAGAAAAACAAAATAAAATTATAAAAAATATAAAAACTAAAGAAATGATATCAGAAAACTTCAGTTCTGGAGAAAAATGAACTCTGCCGATGAACAGCAGAAGGGACATCGCAGCATTCGGGGTGAGGAAATAGAATTATCAAAAGAGGTATTTGTTTAGATTCAGCATGTTTAATCCACTCGTCGAGGAAAAATAATTTCGATCCCTTCCGGGCTTCGATTCGAACACAGCTTGTCCCTACACTTGCATTTTCAAAGCGGCAGTGCTTCCGCCCCTCCCATGTTTTCTCTTACTATCAAAACCATGTTTCAGTATCTAGCAATTCAGTAATGAAATTTCAAAGTACAAGAGAAGATGGCTGAGAACTTACGCACATATATATTCAATATATATGCACATTAAATGAGGAATAAATGACAGAAAATACAAGACATGTACCATGCATGGTAAAAGAACGGTGCGGGATCTTACATAAACCTTGTCCCAACCCCTAAATCATAACCATCTCCCCCCTGCCCCAAAACCTGACCCTAGCCTTGCTCATATCCCTCGTATCTCTCATATTCCTCAGTTTCCTTATTTCGTCTCTCTCGCTCTTCCCTCGCCTTCTCATACGCACGCGCCTTGGCTTAGCACCCAGGACACCGGGCTCCAACTATCATGGGCTTCCCAGCGAGGGTTTCGTACAAACCCCTGGATGCACGTTAACAATATCGGTATGTCCGCAGGAGTACTGAGCAGCAATATTAATGCCCATCTTTGCTCTCTTGTAGGCGTGGGAGCTTGGTGTTTATTGTTTTACCCGTGAGGGGTGACGTCGAGTGGGTTGTTGGGATCTGGAGACTCGAATCAGGTGGCTGGGAAGAAAATGTAAAATGATGAATTTGGCGACTATCTCGTTGGAGATGGTAGGAATATTGTTAGGGTCATGATGACGGAGAAGAGGGGAGAGATTCTAAAATATGAACCTCAGCTGCTCCATTATATACAGTATACCGGTGTGAATTTAGTATGTGGAGAATAATATTGGGGAATATCTTTCACATTTGTAACGTAGGGAGTTCCCTGGGTGTGGAGAACAAATATAAACACGAAAAAAAAAAAAACAAAGACGAAGATTGAAGAGCGAATAAAGAAATGCAAATCGGCTATGGAAATATCCGTAGATGGCTCTTTGCGAGACTTTTTGTTTGGCGACAGTCACTCAAGTTATTAACAGGTGTGTCAGCAAATTCATCAATCAAGAGAGTGAGGACTGACTTTTTCGTCTCCCTTTCGGAGATACCTGGCGTGTTGGAGCCCGAGACCAGTAAACGGCGAGCCTATGTGTATCAAACTTCCGGATATCTCAACTGGTGTGTTCAGTCCGCCCAGTGGAGATTCTCCGTCGTCCGTGAGTGACAGGCGTTAAACACACAGGAGTTCTACTCAACTCCTCGCATCCTTCCCGCAAGTACCTTGGATCAGGTTAAACCGCCGTTTATCTCTGGGTAGTATGAGTAGGTAGTAATAATATGGCAATTAGATGGAAGCGGCTGGCGGGAACAATCAATCAAAACTTGTATACATGTGCAGCATATTACAATATGAGCGTGACTGATGGCGCGCATAAAATCGGAGAAAAGGAAGGCAAAATAGAGGAAATACCTACCTCGGTAGGTATGTGTAAATAGGTCGACAGTACGCTCAAAGATACACCGGAGATATTTATTCCAATTATAATATTGTATTGGCGGACGGCTTCAGTAAAAAGAGAAAGAGAGGAAAGGGATAGAAATGGAATTAAAATGGGAAGGAAAGAAGAAAAAAAAAAAAAAAAAAAAAAAAAAAAAAAAAAAAAAAAGAACCCTCTTGGCGGGAAGAAGCGTTGGAATTAAGGAGCAGAAAGAATAACGGTTGTTTCCTGCGGCCTGGTTTTTGTTTGGTTTTACCACCCAAACCAAAAAAATAAAATCAAGAAAAGAAAAGAAAGAACAAAGGTATGAAAAAGGAAGGAAAAAAAGAAATGAAGATAAAAAATTATAAGAGAGAGCAGCAATACAACAGCAAAAAGTTTGTTATGACTTCATCGTTTGTCGAGCCGTCAGGGTTGATGCCCAGGGTGGATTCCAAAAAGAGAGAACAGAGGAGAAAGTTTGATTTCATCACGCAAGAGGGAAAGAGATATCGGGAATGGGGAAACTCTCAAGGCCACCACCCGAGTCGTTTGAAGCTTTCGACAACAGGCTGGATCCAATCTTCGTCAAGCGTCGGTCTTTCATACGTGAAGCCGGTCGTCTGCTCGAACAGCGATCCGTCAATCAAGAGGTCACCATCCTTAATAGAATCACGTTCCAGGAACGGACTTATAGGTCCAGGTCTGTCGATTTGTTTCTCATTCAGAAGCTCAGCCCATACCTGCAGTCCCTCCTCGTTCATTTCATCGATAATCTCATCCAGGTTGAGGTTCACGACTTGCGTTAGCATGGTGCCGACGAAGTTGTACTCGACACCAAAGGCCCGCTTTAGGCCTTGGGCCAGGTCCTGTTTTGTGGTTTTGTTGTGGTCTACAATATTGAAAACGATGGGATCATCACTGGCAACGGGCCCCTTGCTCGCGCGCCATTCCGCCGCTCTCCACATTGCGCGAGCTGCATCTTTGACATATACAGTGTTCATGGGTTGGCTTCCGGTTTTTAGGAAGGGGATGGGTTTTCCCAGCTCCATGTAGGCCCTGCCCATGCAAATGACAGTGCTCAGTAGACCAGTATCGTACTCCCCGTAGATATGGGGGAATCTAAGAATGCAAAGATTCAAGCCAGGGATCTTTCGCAAGTCTTCCTCCGCTTGGTGCTTCCATTTCGAGAAGGCGAACCAAGGCTTGATCTTGGAATCCTCCTTGGCTGGTTCGCGTTCACTCTTGTACACGGTGGCCGTGGAACATTCGATAAATGCACCAATTCCTCGACGGGCGGCTTCCTTCCCTAGCGCAACGGAGAGGGCATGACTTCGAAGACGGTATACGTCATCTGGTTGGGACATGCGAGACTCTCCGCCACAGTTGATAACGTAGTCAAACTGCGCACCGTTTGCGCGGTCGAAAATTCGGGGAAATGATTCTATGGGTATCCAAAAAAAAAAAAAAGAAAAAAGTGTCAGTGAGCTCGACTGCACGTAGCGGAAATTTCATATGAAATATGTAATATTTAATATATATGAGTGACAAGGACATACGTTCACGGCTTGCGTCAGCTTGGACAAACTTGTCCTGAGAGCAGGCAGCGCTGAACTCAGGAGTCAACCATGCTAATTGAGGTAGCAGCTTATCAACGATGCGCACCTCTGAAGCGAGGTTATTTTCGTGAATGTGAAGGGCAAGAAAGCGGCCGAGGAAGCCTATACAATTTGGTTCACACCAAGTCAGTCAGATTTTCCCCCGTTGATTCCGCTGAAATTCGGTGCAAAGTCGGGGGTAAAGTTGGGGTTGTCCGTACCAAGCCCTCCCACAATCAAGATGGCAGGCTTGTTAGCCTCGCCAGACATGGTAATTCAAACAAGGATGTCGTCGTAAAAAGGAATATTTATAATCGGGACGCAAAGGAATCACCGTCGGTTATCCGCTAAATAATGAGATGGTACGTGCGAAATCGGGGGGCGGACAATGCAATAACGACTGTATCACACTGCCGGAGACACTGGGTTTGCAGTGGTCTGGGAATTAATGGAGAGGTGGAAGAATGTGCTGATCCCTTGCGACAGTCTGGGAGAAGGGTGTCTGAGCGAGAGGGATAAGGGAATTTAGCTAAGTGTGCAGGCTAAAAGCTAGCTATTTCTCTAGCTTAGACGGTATAGGAAGGTGGTGGTTACGATGGCGCGGTGAGAA